TTTTTTAGTGGAAATATATGATTAAAAAAAATATATATATAACATTCTTTGTTTTCTTAATTCAAAAACACTAATGTTGAAAATTACCTCAAGAATTTGGTAAGGAAGATTTAAGGATTAGGTGGAATTAATATACATGCAGAGATATTCAAATTACATTAGTTCTTACACATACCAACACAACGGTTATCTTTGGTAGACCAATAAGCTAGCTTATAGCTTATTTGATTAACTTATAAGCTTTCTGTATTTAAATAAGTTTCGCTTGGTAGGACGAGCTTATTTAAAAAAAACTCAAGCTTATTTGATAAACTTCTTTTGGTAACTTTTTAAATAAGCTCGTTAAATTTTTTATTTCAACTAGATTATCAGCTAATTTTACCAAACACTTTTATCATATATAAGCTAGCTTTTCAGCTATAAATCATAAATTATAAACTATAAACTCGAAAATTACTAATAAGCTATAAGCTAGCTTATCAGCTATCAGCTAGTTTTACCAAACATAACCTAACGTATACATATCTAACATCCACATGTTTCATGCAACCATACTTACAAATATTGATAAATTAACTAATTCCCATCACCAAAAGCAAAACCTAATTGTGAACCATTGACATTTTTATCCGCCCATCTCCCACTACGCCTCATGCCTTTGGCGCCTATAAATATCGTCCCCTAAGCCTAACTCTCCCCCGACACTAACCAAATTATCTTGCCTCAAAAACACTAATCACACACAATTCGTGTTCCTATATTCCCCTAAGATTAAGGAAATGGAGTGGTTCTACGTCTCCCTCCTCACTCTCTTCGTCCTCCTCGTCTCCCTCTCCCTCCACTTCCTCTTCCACCGCCCCTCCTCGGGCCCACTCCCACCGGGACGGGCTGGATGGCCCGTCCTCGGCGAGAGCCTCGAGTTCCTCTCGACCGGTTGGCACGGCTACCCCGAAAAATTCATCTTCGACCGGATCTCCCGATACTCCTCCCTCGTCTTTCGCACCCACCTCCTCGGCGAGCGGGCCGCCGTCTTCTGCGGGCCCTCCGGCAACAAGTTCCTCTTCTCCAACGAGAACAAGCTCGTCCAGGCGTGGTGGCCCGCCTCCGTCGACAAGGTCTTCCCATCCTCCTCCTCCCAATCCTCCTCCAAGGAAGAAGCCATCAAGATGCGGAAGATGCTCCCCAAC